CCCATAATAAAATTGAGATGAAATGTATGTGAAACCAATTTATTCGTGATGTGATTGGTCGAAAATAAATATTCTCATTTTGATTGGTTGAAAGTGAATATACTATACATAAACGACACATAAATATATCATGACAATAAATATGACGCGCGCGCTTGCGCGCGTAAATTCAATTTTAGTTTATATAAAAGCTGATTAGTTTTTTATATACACCCACACACATCATCGTAAAAATCGTCGGGGAAATCTTCCTAGGACCTCAAAACAAATTTCTAGGGATAGCCTGCAGGGTCAACCGTTTTTCAGATTTTTTTTGCTCGGGAAACTTAACTATTAAAAATTACCCTAGTAGAAATGATATCGAGTTTTTAGCCAGTAACTAGCCAATTTGACTAGACTTAAACCAGTAACTGGCCAGTGTAATATCGAGTTTCTTTCAAGTAACTGGCCAGTTTTACTAGAGATCGAGCAAAACATGGCGGCTTCAGTGAAACTGTCAATTTTGAATATTGAGGTTATCAAGGGTTATAAAAAATTGTCAAATAAAATAAAAATAATGTTAAATAAACGATATATGATATAAACGTTTCATTTATATTTATTTATATTATAAAATAAATAAGATCATTATACTAATAGAATAATCACAACAAATCTTACAACAAAGTAATTATTTTTAATTGAAGAAAATTAAAAAAATATTTATTTAGGTTTTCTACTGCCTTCCCAGTCTTTTGAGTTACTCAAAATTACTCCGACAGCTTGTAATATTTCGGCAGGACTTCCAAGATTTTTAACCTCACAAAATTCATTCAAGCATTCAACGATTTTATAATCTTTTATGACAGTTTTTTCTCCAGTTTTTTTAGAACTAGTATATTTTGAAGCCACAAAATTTTTAACAACTCGTCCAAATAACAATCTGCAATATTTGATTTTATCGCCCACAGTCACAATTCATTTATTGTCAACTTTTTTTACCTCATCCATTTTGTAAAATATTTACACATTAACATACACAAATTTTTATTAATTCACACTGTTTTTTAATATTTTTTAAAACAACGACGCGTACAGGTTAACAGAAAAAAATAAACAGACACACACTAGTAAAGATAGAGTGTCGGTGTGACCAACGTTTATGACTTAGTTGAAGGTGGCGCGATTTCGAGTTTTTACTCGATATCACTGGCCAGTTATATTACTGGTTTATATCGAGTGAAAACTCGATTATTTCTACTAGGGTAGGCTGTTAATTATACACTGAAAAAAAAAAAAATCAATTTGAATAAATAAGAAAAAAATTCTTAAAGCACGAAAATAATTTTGAAGAGTTCCATTCCAAAATTTTTTAGTTTAAAAATTTTTTTACTCAAATTAAGAGGATGAAGTTCTTCAAATTTATTTACTTGATTTTCAAGTAAATTTTTTTTTCGGTCAACATTTTTTTTATAAGTTTTTTTTTAACTTTCAATACTATTCCCAAAATCATTTTTTTTTTAAACTATCTTTTGCACTATCAAAAGTAAATTTAATTAGTATGAAGCTCGTGTGAAAATTCGAAATTCACTGTTATATAATTTACTGTCAACCCGATCTGACCAATTAAAATTCAATTACTTTCATATGATTACTACCCAATTAAAGCTACTAAAATTCAGTACTATTATCCTTCATCAATAAATCATGACATTCATATAGTTCAATCCAAATCAATCGTTAAAACTCAAACTGAATACTTTAATCTGAATTATTTCTCTCCATATCCAAAACTTCTAGGCGCTAAATTTTTTTTTTCTCAAAAGAGTTTAAAACTGCATTTACATATTATAAATGTCTAGCTTTAGAACAGTGTGTGACGCTTTCACGCAGGTAAATTCTTCTGGGTAATCACAACTGGCGGCACATGACACAAAAACATATACGCAGGTGGGCAGCTGCACGGTCAAGTTGTAAGATGGGATAACATGCGAAAGAATGATGTGAGTAAGTGAGACCGAATAATGGTACATTCTACATTCGTATACACTATAGAGTAATATTCCCTTAATAATAATAATAACAATAATCATAGTAATAATAATAATAATAATAATAATAATAGAATATATAGCGAAAATGAGAGTAAGAGAGCTCGAGAGAGATTTTAGAGGGTGGTGCTCGGAGCAGCGTCAGTTGAGAGTGCGGATTGGACAGGCTACAGGCTGCATAGTTCCAACACGTTCTCGAAGACCTTTGCCGGTAGACGAGCCTACCCGAGTTCACCCGAGCCGACCCGAGTTTGTGGCAACGCGGCAATCGCCGAGCGAGGGTAACAGTTGCGTCGCGACCTCCGACGAGGGAGGTGTTCATGCTGTTTGTTTCTAATAATTATATTTTATTTTGAAATATTAAGCAACTAACGGATAATTACGGCTATAATAATTGATACGAGTATTGGGAAGAAGTATCATACGAGTGTTTTATTTATTACACTCTTCGAATGAAAATTAATTTTATTTAAGAAGTTGATGCCGAAGCGGTACAGTGTTTTGTATACATCATAAAGTGACGCTAGTATTATTATCATTCTGAATAATAGATGTATTGGGTGTGCTGCTATACGAGAAATTAAACAGATGTGACGTCGTGTATAATCGGTTAGGTGAATTTTTTTATTTAATTTGGTTTACGAATACGTGTTGCAATTTTTCGATAAAGTCACCGTGACGAGTGACTGTAAATGAGTTTGTGGGTTTTAAGTTATTTCTGTGAATGTAAAAGTAAATAAATATAAAAGTGTATTTTAGTTTTTTAATGCTCTAAGTCTTTCCTGTTTCTGTTCTCACAGTATCGTTTATCAAGATTTACACAGTGACGCAATTGCATCGAAAGTAACAAGAAAAAAATATAAAAACAACCTTTGCTATACTATATCTGATAGATATAGATATAAGAGGGACGCGCTGTGTAATTACCCTCGGCAGGTTGTGTTGAGAGTAAATAACAAAAAATAGTTCAAACATTCGTGATGATAAAACGCTGTTGAGTGAAAAAAACATCATTGTATGTTTATGAAATACTTTTATTTAATGAATGTCAAAATAGCCGATGTCTGATTAGTACGATAGTTTTTAGTTTTTGCAAACAAGTTATCTATTAGAGAAAAATTTTTATTTGCAACATGAAATTTTGGAATGAAAATTAAGTTAGCTGACATCTAAAAATTTTTAGAATTTTTTTTAATTGAAAAAATCATTACAGAAAAATAAAAAAAAATTTTCATTTGTTAAAAACTTGAAAAACTATAAATGCAATTTTTTAAAAATATCTTTTTAGTTTTAATTTAATAAATGAAAAATAATCAAAAAATTAAAAACGTCGGCTAACTTTAATGACATAATTTTGGATGGCTCTGAAATTAATTTATTAGGGTATCATATTAGGGGAAAATATGCAGATTTCAGTGTCATAATTTCAATTTCATGCAATTAATTAATATCAGATAATTTTTCGAGTAACAAATTGTTATAGAACATATTTAAGAAAAAATTTAACAGGTTGGAATTTCGGAAAATCATGAGTGAAAATTTTTGATACTTTTTTTTTTATTACTCATTTATTTATTGAAATAAATTCAAGAGTGATCAAGGGCCTGCTGATTTTTCTATCGTGAAATTTTCATAGTTTTTAGTTTTATTTTTGCAAAAAAGTGAATATTAAAAAGATTCATTCTTTACTAATAATATTCTTACAAATTCACACTGATTCATATTATACTTTAATCAGCAACCCTCAACTGTGGTTTTATTTGAAAATTAATTAGTTCTAAAAGCTTTTTTAATATATGCATTCATATTTTCTTAAAATTTCTCCTAGTGGAATTTTTTTCATAATTTATTTATTTAATTTATTTTATTAATTAAATGATTATCAAAAAATATGATACAAATATTAAATAATTTTTAATTTATCTAAATATTTAAATTAATTTATCGAAAAAAAATTTAATGAAAATTGTCAGGAGTACTAATTTCAATATCATAAAAAGAATATCAAAAATTACGTTTATTAGGAAAATATAAAGATATATGTATGTACTTAAATATAAATCAAATTAAAATGTAATATTTTTCTACCAGTAAATAATTTTTTTCATTAAAAAAATTGAAAACTGTCAGACGTCCGCTGTTTTGAGTATCATTATATAAAACATAAAATAAAAAATTTATGTTTTTTTATTCTAGAGAGTTCTGTTCCTGGAAAATAGTCAGTGTGAAATTCAAGTAGAACCTTTTTGTTGTCTGAGGATTTTGTTATTATTTTATTTCTCTACCTGGGCCCGGCTGCTGTAAAGCTGAGTGTACTTGGTAACATCTCTGAGCAATAGCATTTTACTTTACAACTGTAAGGTATTATAGTAGTAAAAGGAATTCCTTTGTCCTCTGGTGGCATTGAACGCTCCACTACAGAGGACGTGAGCGTGTTAGTTAGCCTGAAGTTGCTATACTAGGCTGTACAGTAACTGGTGATGCTGGTGATGTTGCTGCTGGAGGCGAAACCGCTGAAACACAACCAAACGTATTTCTTGTGTATTGGAGCCAACTGGTGAATGTCCGTCTGTAAACCGCGAGGGCAACAACCACCGTCGTTACGACTCCCATCATCACTACCTCGATCAACACGAGGCCAAGGATTCAAGGTCACCGATCCGGGCACTAAGGGTCAGCCTACTGTCGTCGCCCTTGTACTTTATATTGTGCTTTTGTTTGTTAAGCATATTTTGTATGTACACAGGTTTTTTTTTCATAAACACTACATTAGTATTATTATTATTGAAAGATAAATCTATATCACGTCCAGGTGATACTCGGAGGATTTAAAGTGACAAGTAAACAGTGAAAATAATATATAACACCGTTAGAGTGGTTATCGTCTGAATTTGTGAATTTTAACGTATTATATACGTATATTTTATTATTTGGAATACAAATCACGTGGGATACAAACAACGAGGAAAAATGCAACAACGAGGATCATTCACCAAAGCTGGGATGGTATTTGTGAGAGCAGCTGTCCTAGCAGCTGTTATTACCCAACTTTTGGGACCTAGTAAGGCCACGAGGCCTGCTGGTTCTCATCCGGGACATGCTTATTTTGAACAACCTTGCTGCGGACACTCGCATTTGCGGCATCACAAAGGTACTTTTTACATTTATATTATTATTACTACTAACTACAGTTGGACTATTTTTATTACGTTTACCTTCAAAAAGAGGCGGGAGTTGAAATAATAATGTCATCATTTGTAGCTCGGAAGTTTTTTTCATTTTTTTCCTTTGAATGTAGCAAGCATTTTGAAACTTTTATAACTTCAGAATAAACTAGTGAAATGTTGAAAAACATACGATAAAAAATGCATATTTAGGAAATTAAAAAATTAGTATGTGCAATTTTTTTAATTAATCATGATACAACAAATACTAATCAATATTAAATGAAAAATTGAAAATTGTGATAATTGAAAAGCTCTTTATCATAAAAAAAAAAAAAATATAATTAAATTTTGGACAGTATTTGGGACAATAAAACAAATTTTAATTAATTAATCTTACTATAGCTAGTATTCGCAAAAATTGTTATGAAAAACCTGTTAAACTCGGTTTGATGATTATTATTGAGTACTTTTTTTTTTATAGGAAATTACAAATTATATGTTTGCTACATTCACATTTATAGTTTGTCGTTAACATCCAATTACCATTGCCATATTACATAGTTCGATTTTATAAACATAAAACTTACTTATCTTTTATTGTGAAAAAAATCAATCTAAAGAGAACAAAAAGTGTAATTTTTAATCGTATTAGAAGCATGCGCGCAGGGTAATGTCATTTTGTAAAAAGTGTCTCAGAACTAGGGTTTGCAGATAATTTTGTCAATGAAACTTTCCGACAAAAGAAGTTCGGTAGGGTAAAATATACTGAGATTATTTAATTATCTGGCTATTTACTGTAAGAAAAAGAAGTGAGTAGTTTTATTATTTTGAGAAAAAATTGATAAATATGAATTTCTCGTAATTTTTTTATTAATTTCGTAGGAAATTATATTTATTAACCGAATATTCAGTTTTTAGACGACTATCATAATGTGTTTATTAGTTACAAATTCACAATTAGCTGCTTGTTATAGGTAGTTTGAGTTCTACAAAACATGTCAATAATAAAATATGACCTTTATAAATTTAACTGGCTTATTAATATAATTGAACACATTTTTATTTAGCTTTTTATTGATTTCTTGCTAAAGAAACTTAGTATTTTTCGATAAACAAACAAGAAGAAAACAATATTTGATTTTGGTTTGGAGTCAAATTTCTCCGAAACTCTACACGATGGATAACTTTAAAATTTTAATATCATTTGATCATATTTTTTTGGAAGGTGAGTGAGTATTTTCAACAAAAGACTGTTCTTGATTGAGAATATCTTTTATTGATGAACTCAATTGCTAAATCAATGACCGAACTAAGAAAACATAAAATCTGTAGAGCAAAAGTAGAAAAACACTTCACCAGATTACATTCTGTACTAATAGAAATTTTCTATATGTATATAATTCGGGATACACATTGCCTTTATTATGAAGAATTATTACCTATAAACTACAAGTAGGCATATATTTTAAGTTTATATCCTAGAAGGAGTTATATTTACATAATATTGAATTTCACTGTTGAGAAACTCTTGTTTCAAGTAAAGTATCATGTAATTACAAAAAAAATAAATAAATTTGTTGAGATTTGATAAAAATTTTTAGTCAAAATACATTTAAATATCGAGAAGAAATCATGCACACAATAATTTTAGATAGCATTATAATAGTTGAATTTTTTATCTTTTGAATACCAAGATTCAAATTGAGTTTTTTTGCAATTACCAATCACCAATGTACTGTCTTACTTATCCCGTTAAATCTTCTAATTTTCACGCTGTAGGTTCTCAGAACGCGAAATTGGGACTTGTGACCAAATCAATTTGTCAAACAATTAAGCAATTACTCCTTATCGAGGAATCTAAACGTTTTCATCAATTTTTCAGTCAAAACATTGTGTTTTTTTTCTTCCATTCTATAAAATTACAAAAAATTTTAATTTGTAATTAAATAAATATCAATTTGACCAAAATTTATGTTATTGAAATTGTCAGTAATTTCTAAATACCAAAATACCTAAAGATTAAAATGACCTGATGAAAGATATTAAAAGTGGTTACTATAAAGAAGGGTAAGTCAGCAAGTACAATTCTCAGGTATACTCTAAAATATAGAAAAAACTAATGTACAAAAGAGAGTCTAGAGGTTTTTCCGGTGGTTGAAATGTACTTCAGTCAATCATTTAAAAGAAAACGTACCGAAAAAAGGTAAAAATAATAATAATGAAAAGATGGAAAAAAATTTTACGAACTGGGTTCTAAAAGCCCGTTAACGTACATCACAAATATTATCTCAGTGGCCCTTGCCACGCGATATTACCGGAGGGCTTAGAACGCCGGCACTGACTTCATTACGTACCAAGGGACTAGACTATAGTATGCATATATACTTATAGGTGTATATGAACATGTGTGGAAGAGAGAGGGCCGTATGGAATGTGGAATGGTTGGTCTTCTTGTCTGGTGGTATAGAGACTATAGCAAACCCAGTACAGAGCCAGTTCAGAGAGTTATTCGCCGCCGCGTGTGTTCTCGTGCGTGCTAGCAGGCGTTTCATGGTATTGATGCGAAACGCTCCTACGTGAGCGTGTAATCCCATGTGGATTATGTATTTGATACGTGCAGATGAGTAACCACAAGTTTTTGTATACTCAATATCTATCCATATATGTATAACGGCAAGTGTGTAAATTTGAATGTATTAAAAGCTACGATTAGATTAATTAAAGTTTAATATCCTTATTTCGCTCCTGTTATTATTTTTTTCAATTTTTATCAGTACTCGAGTATTATTATGTATCCAACGACGAGCGAACTCGTTTCTATTTTTATTTAATGGATTATTATGTATTTGTTATCTTGTAATAAAAGTTGTGTTGTAACAGAAATTGATTTTTATATTTGAATATATTATAGCGTTGCATTTATATCGTGTTAAATACATAATGTGATGATAATAGCGAGAAATATCTCGATTACATATCTTAACGCAGAGTGGATACGGGTTGATAAATGTAATCATAACATACAGGTTTGCGGTTCTCCACTTTATATATGTGTATAATATCTCTTACCATGATTATGCGATTCTTCGTGGTATGCCTCTGAATTAGTGATAGTGAAGACGCTATTAGAAAGCTGTTTCAATGGTTTGAGAATTTACCAGACGATCCTGAGAGAGTATATGTATTTACTGTGCGATACTATCTCTGTGCAAGCCTTCCTTATCGAGTTTCTAGTAACTAACCAAACGGATATTAATTCCGATGTGCTTCTCTTTAGTTGATCCGTTAATCGAATTTACCTAATGCTATAAATTTTCGTGTATTTCTCTCCAAGTATGATGATTTGTATGTGTTTGTTGTGTGCTAATAAATCGACTGCTTAAATATAAACACTGCTGAGTTATTTTTCCTTTATTGATTGAAATCCTCACATAGAGATACTTCCTGAATTGATTATCGTTTTTCATGAATAAAACATTATTAATGGGAGCAAATTTGTCAAAAAATTTATGAATTGATGTACTCAATTGTAGGATTTATGTCTGCGATAGTACCAAAAAAAGTTAATTTAAGAAACCGTAATACTAACGGCATATTGCGATAGAATTAGAAAAATGATTCTCATATTTCATGAAAATGGATATTGAATACCGTAAAAACAGTATGCATCGACAAATGGCGACGAAAATCATTTTATGATAACCCTTCGTATAGGTTATTCGAGAATGATTCTTTTGATACTGTGATAACGATTCCAAAATTATACTGATATAGTTTCTATAATATAGTAGGAACTATTTCCATGGTTGATGAAAATTGAATCACAAAAAAAGAAAATGAAGTTACACATCAGAAAGATACGTATCATTGATAAATGGAAACTGTTAGTCGATTACATGTACTCATCATCATCTACGACTTCATCGTCATCATTACTAATATGATACTCTCCTGTTTGCACATTACTTGTTTAAACAGTTAGTAACTATCATCTATATCTTGGGTGCATAATAATCCAAATGCGTACTACTTTAATCAACATAAATCGATATACTTACTCTTAATCATGAAAATTTACAAAAGAAGAGAAAATGAGTTCGACTGAAAGATATAGCTAATAAGACGTTTTGAAAAAAAAAACAATTGTTATTTATTAATGAATACAGCACAACACATGATTATTGATGAGTTAAAAATATACGTTTCGAGCAACGTTTTTCATTCGTTGTCCAAGAAGGATCAGAACGATATGCAGTAAAATCATCAATTAACCTAGTTCTCGGTAGCAGAAGAAATTAACTTTGGGTTGATTATATCAAGAGAATTAAAAAGTTTTTCTATCTTAAAATAAGACTGCTTTTTTACTTACTTGTTAACTGATACATAGTACAGATCTTCGGTTTTATTATATGTATTCTCTATTCAATTTATCGAATGAATCATCTTATATATCTTTCTACTTGACAAAATGAGAGCGGAAATTACAAAAAATGTAAATGTATATAAATAATTATAAAGATGAGATTGATGAAAAGTTCCATTAGCGGTGAAGTATATACGAAATAGAAAAGATAAAAATTTGCTTAAATATAGTAGGTAGAACAAAAAAAAATACGAGCTAGTGCTTTATTTTTCATCTTCAGGTCGGGGTAAATGTCTTAAGAATTTTTCGAGATTAAAAGCTCCTCGAGAGGCCATTCGCTACTTGCTTTTTTCCAATAAGACTCTGTAATGAATGACGACATTGCGCTCTTACACATGGAAGAACGCTTCTCATTCGCTCGTGAATGTAAAAGTGATGACTTCAAGAGAAGAGAGATTCGTAACGACTTGATGTACGCTCTGTTTTTTGTCCGATAGTATTATACATTTCCTTTTGTTTGAAAACGTCTATGATTTGTAATATAACGTTAATTACTTAAATTATCTTAATAATATATATTATCGAATAAATCAATTAATGATTTTTTTAATTATAAAGTTTTCCTTTGTAAAATTTTTGCTCTATAAATTCCAACTGGCTAAAGTTCTTTAATGTCTTTCTTATTCTAGTTAATTTTAATTAGAATTATTGTTAATACTTTTTCTACGGTCTTGCACTACTTTCTATTGGTTTAAGCTGCATCACGTTTGTCCTTTTTTATTCTTCTTACACCATAAAGTTTTGTTCTGAGTTTTCGAGGAAGAAAAGCGTCACGACAATTTTCCTGGCTCCTGAGGCAACAAAAACGACGACAGCCAGTCTTGTAAGCTTTGTCTATCTATAGAAGAGCACAAGCTTACTGCTATTACTATTGGGCGGTATACGACAGAAAACGACCGCACGAAGACATAACAGCAATACCTGTCACAATTTATTCCAGTGTATTATTACTTAATAAATTTAACACGTCTGCACCTGTTGAGATTGATTCTAAATTAAATAAAACTATGGTCTCATATTTAACGTGGAAATGTCTGTGTTTATTACAATTCACTTCTAAAATATATTACTTGTTTATGTGATTAAATGCTGTAAAGTTTGATTAGACTAATGATGCCAAAGAAAAGCAAAGAAAAACTGAAAAAGTTTAAGTAATAATTTTAGTTAAAAATGTTTGTCTCGTTTTTAGCGTTTATTATTTTTTATCGTAATTATTTCTTTGTTACGTTCCATATTTGTTCTTTATAAAAACAGTTTGTTGTCAACATGTAAACGTACATCGCAACATCACGCCAGGAGCTCGGAACAAAGAGTATTCGATGAAGAAAAAGGAATATGATGGTAGAACAATAGTGAAAGAAGATGAGCAATATTCCGTAATATATTTTAAACAATAATTTATAAAGATCGTAGTGATAAAGATAATTAATTATCCTAAATTTTTTCAAACAATGAAATTGTCCACATTTATTTTTCTATGCCAAAAAAATTATGATTATAATACTTCAATCATAGTAATATATCAGCATTTGAATTAAATTTTGAATGTGAAAACCAATTAGGGATAAGATGGAAATAAACATAGTATCATTATTTTTCGTACAAACTCATAAATTAATCTATGCAGTTTGCGGTTCTCCGCATTTGTTAAAGCATCTGATATTTGCACAGATGCAGGAATAAAACCCGGAACGAAGAAGAGAGAAGAAGAAAGAGCGAAATGAGCACGTGTCTCTATTTATGAATTATGATCAAACAACCGAGTCTTCAGCTAATAATTTTCTTTGTATATTGAAGCACGTGTGCCTTATTCCGTCATTTACTTATCATTACTTTTATACAAAAGTAATTTAAAAATTTTCACGCATCTTCCCATGCAAAGAATCGCATTCATGTGTGATTTTACAATAATAATTTTTTTTTTATATCAAGATGTCGATAATACCGATGTCATTCGATCCCTTTGACATTTTCCTTTATCGTTATGAAAGTTCTTCACTCTCATACTCACTGTTAAGCACGGAAGGAAAAAGGCGTTTGTGAGCGTAGTAGGAAATTGAATTTAGTTTTATCTAAAATGGTCGATATGAACGATGGAAAAGACTAGTGAGGAAAAAATGATGCTTACCAGACTAAACTTTCTTACAGAGGAAAGCAAAAAATAAATAAATAAAGTATCACTATCAACTGTAAGATAAATCGATATAATACGAATGGTATATTCAAGTAGTATATACATTGCCTAGTCATTCTTGGATATACATAATGTGTTTATACACACATTCGTTTATCAAACACTTTAGATAAGATATCAATAATATCATTCTACAATGACGTTGTGACTTTACCAACCAGAATAATTCAGGGGAAACTATCTCGCCAATTTAATGAGTTATTGAATTAATAATCAAGGACAGTCTGGTATGCAATACATAATCAATACATTGCTTTTCTGAGACACCCCACACAATGAGAAGGGCTCAAATCCAGACTGACGTTTTACGTAAAGGTGGAGAAAAATAAAAAAAAAGATATTACGACTGTTGTCTATGGAGGTAATAGTCGACACAGAGGCGGGTTAATGCTTTGTAATGGTCGACCGAGGGAGTTGCTCAGCATCGTCCCCTTTTAACGACCTGTACCGGGCGTAACACGACCGCATGGCCCTATCAAATCCGATACCATGTACAACTGGCTCAGGGAACACACTGTTCGCGAGGCCACGAAGCCCATGTAAGCCCTATATATTCTGTTCGTTGGTGCGACAAAGTTCCACACTCAAATGCGTACCTATACTCGTATAAGGCTTGTTTGACATCCCTATTCAGTTTGAATATTAATGTTTCCGACTACAGTTTCACGATACTTGTAGTATTACTTAAAAACAGTAAATTAAGATGAATGATTCGATTTTTCAAAGGGCGATAGTATCCTATCTGAATTGTGGTAAGTAAGTAAGTGTGAGAATAGTAATTCACCTCTTCCGGAAGTAAACGATTTTTTTGACACTCACCCTAACTGCACTCTTGTCAAAGTGAAACTTGAGACATTGTCGAGTGGTTTAGATACAAATATATCAGTACAGTCTAAGTAACACTATAGTGACTTATTGTTTTT